AGAGAGAGAGAGAGAGAGAGAGAGAGAGAGAGAGAGAGAGAGAGAGAGAGAGAGGCATGGAAGAAGGGGAGGAACACTGACCTTCGCGAACGAACTCCAAGGACATCCAAGGCGGCGGGTCGCAGCAGACAACGAATGAACTCCAACGTGGTGGATTGCACCAGCGAGCGCGACGTGGAGTGCAGCCCCTGTTTTTTTTTCGCGGAGGCGTGGGAAACTACAGAGTTCGAATTCGAATTGCGCCTCCGTTCTGAATGGCATCTCAGAAAGATGCATCCCCCGCAGGAGGGCAAATTAGACAGGCACCAGGGGAAATGGGACCGGCGGTCCGGTAGGGGCATTCCGAAAAGTTGAGCCCCTCGCTGACAGGGGCCTGCACGACAGTTCAGAGGCCCCAGGGCAAATCAGGGTAAGTCGGCCGTTGGAGGGGCAGATCGCAAATAAACGGAAATTTCAGGGGCATTTTGAAATTTTTAATTTCCCCCCTTTTTTTTTTCAGTCGGGGCTTCCGCTCAGGATTGAACACGGTGCTGGGTTTTAATGATTCCATCCTTTCAATCAATTATGCTGCTCGATTCACACACAAACCACTTTGTGGAGCCCCCCCCCTTCCCCCCCCCGCCCCCCCCACACACACACACACTCAAATCAGACCCCCAGTTAACCATGGGGCATCACCAGGACCCCGTTCAGGGGGGGAGCAGAGTCCATCAACAGCTAGATGTACCGGAGCAACTTTCCCCGGGGTAACACCAGGACTCTGTGGACATAATTACAGTCAGGTGCATCCAGGTCCGGTCGGAAAAGCGGCCACATGCATCCAGGAAATGTCCTTACCCAGTACCCCACCTTCTTGAGGCCTTTTCTTGGATAGCGCACATCAGGATCAGCCTGACCTTAGGGTCTGGATTTTCTTAACTACAGCCTACCCATGAATACCTCGCACTCGTGAATACCCCGACCACCCAGCATTTGCACAATGACGCTTGTGATCATTGTGTTGCCCTTACAGTCCTACCTTGTACTTTACCATCATCCCTTTCACCATCTGTCTGTTGCACCTTTGCTTTGCTCTCTCTCTCTCTCTCTCTCTGTTTTTTTTTTTTTTTTTTTCGAGTCACCCCTTTTACTGCCTCCTTTCTTAACCTGCAACTGGGCTGTTAAGCCACACGGGGATGTGGGCAGCTGGTGCTTAGCCATCATCAGCATGGCCAGCCTTGTACGTGAGAGGCACAATAAGAGGGGTGTTGTAAGAACAAATAAACTGGGAGGCCTCCCAAGGATAATAACAGTGAATGCAGTGAAGAAAACGATATACCTGATCTGATGTGTTTGATGCCGCTAACTGTCTCATTGTTGGGTAGAACCCTTTCAAGTGTGCTGCATTGCTTGCCTAAATGTCATATTCCTATGATTTTGGATCTACTCGTGAAGGCATTGCTGGCATAAAGGTAATGTTTTTATTCTGCTTGCTGATTATGGAGGCAACACCGTTTCCTTGGTGGATTAGTTCATCTCAAGCATATTTCATCGTCTACGGTAGAGGTGAAGTTACTTATCTGGGTGGAACAGGGGATGCTGTGGTGAACATTCACAACACACACACACACACACACACACACACACACACACACACACACACACACACACACACAGGCATGTGTGCATGAGTAGTGTGTAATGTAATGGGCAAGTGCTCCAGACCGTCCTGCCGTCCTGAAATCGCATCATCTCCATAGCAAAGAAATTCATTAAGACAACATCCTCGTTGCATGTAGCAAGCAGAGGAGGCTAGCACACTGCCTACATTGAGTGGTAAGGTCGTGGTTACACTACCCGCCATCCGCCAAAAGGCCCAAAATCCATGGCAAGTGGGTTTCTTGTTCGTATGCAGTGGTGAGCGCGCCGCAAAGCCGCAAAACCGCAAAGTGGTGAGCGCGCCGCAAAGCCGCAAAACCGTAAAGTGGCGAGCGCGCCGCAAAGCCGCAAAACCGCAAAACCACCCAAAGTCCATTTCCCAGCTATCTTGTTCAGATGCAGTGGCGAGTGCGCCGCAAAAACGCCTATCAGGCCCACAAGATGGAAAAGGATCTCAGTGTCTGGTAAT